TCTGAGTGATGTCTTATAAAAATAGATAGACATGAGGAAAGACAGACACCATATAACAAGGGAGGCCGATGCATAAATAAACAGCAAAGAAACACCAGCCACAGAAACCGGGAGAGAGCCATGGAGCAGAAGTTCTCTCTTCAAACCTCCAGAAGGACTTGATATGTCCAAAACCCTAGTTTGGATATCTTGCCTCCAGAACTGTGAGACAATACATTTTTGTTCTTTCAAACCACCAACCTTGTGGTATTCTGGTCTGGCAGCTCTGGAAAACTAAGACACATGTTTTGACCACACTGAAATAAGAATGATCTGTTGTGTGCCTGTCTCCATTCTTAGCCTATGAGTGTCACTAAAGCTACAGCTCTTTCTTTAGCTCCTAGCACACTGCCTGGCACATTGAGAGTGCTAGATAAATGTTATTAATTCATTAATTACTTAATAACTCAGTATCATTGTCCCCATCCTAGGATAGAAATAGTAATAATATCAATCAACCAATAAATATATGTACTGTACTGTGTTTTAGGTGGATTTTCTTATGAAAATGCTTATAACTTTATCCTCATAGCACTCTCATGAAGTATATACTACTATTAACACTCCCCATACAATAGGTTGAGGAAATTGAGGCACAGAGAGATATAGTGAATTGTTCAGGGTCACAAAGTTAATAAATGGGAAAGTCAGAGTCAAATCCAGGCAGTCAGATTAATAAATCCTACCCCAACCCTTGTACTGTACAATTACCCAGAAATATCATATTGTTATCCCTGGGAGCACTGGTGGTGTACTGCCTAAGGCATTTGACTGCTAATCAGAATGCTGGTGGTTCAAACCCACCAGCCATTCCTCAGAAGGAACTCTGTAGAGATACCACCTCAGAAACCAAAGGAGGGGTCGTTATGAGTTGGAAACGACGCAATAGCAGTAAGCTTGGGTTTTTTTTTTTGGCTTTACCCTCTTCATAAGGTTTTCTAGGAAGGGGTGCGGGGGTCACTGAAGTAAGAGATGTGAAAACATTTAAAAAAAAAAAAAAAATAGGAGTGTGGAGTACGAAGAGGTGGAAAGGGTGGAATTTGTCTTTGACCTTTCCTAGTCCTATGCCCATTCCCACCCCAGGTCTATGCCCATTTGTCATCTAGCTTTCCAGGGACTCCTGCATGACATTATATATTTGTCAAAACCCATAGAACTGTACAACACACAGAGTGAACCCTGGGTCCTTGGGTGGCACAAACAGTTTGTGCTCAGCTACTAACTGAAAGGTTGGCAGCTCAAACCATCCAGTAACACCAGGGAAGAAAGGCTTAGCAGTGTGCTTCTGTGGACTACAGCCATTGGGAGCTGGGGGGGTAGTGAACCCTAACGTGAACTACGGATTAACTTAATAATAATGTGTCACAATAATTGCAGCAGATGTACCACAAGATGTTAATCAGTGGGAAAACTGGATGCTCTCTGCACTTCCTGCTTAATTTTTCTGTAAACCTAAAACTGCCCTTAAAAATGAATCAATTAATTAACTTGAAGAAGGAGAAGGAGTAGAAGAAGCAGAGAGCTCCAGACACACTAGACTCTGCACACGTGCTTACCCACCTTCAGCTCTTTGCTTATATGTTTCCCTCCACCCAGAATTTTCTCCTGCTCATCCATGCTTAGTAAAATCCTGCATCCTTCCAGGACCATCTCACCTTTTCCTGACCATTTTTCCTATCCCTAGTGTTTCCCACCTTAGCACCTCCTTTCCCTGATTTGCACAGGCCAAAATTGCACTGAAATCTGATTCTTCTCATATTGTCTCACATTCTATATCCTTCCATCAACAAATCCTCTTTGTTTTGCCTTGAAAACAAGTCCCCAACCTGACCGTTCTCAATGTTTCTCCCACTACCATCCTAGTCCAAGTTACTTCATTTCTTGCCTGGGTTATTGCTATATCCTGATAACTGTTCTCTGTTCTCCACTCAGCAGCCAGACTTCTCTTTTAAAACACAAATCAGAACATGTCACTTTTAGCTAAAAAACTCTCCAAAGGGTCCCCATTCGTCTTTATAAAAATTCTTAGTCCTTGCTCTTACCCCGTGGCTATTGTTCCTACTTCATCTACTATCGTTCTCCCCTTTCTTCTCCACCCCAGGCTTTTCTTCTTGGTGATTCGCAAGGACATTCTTTTCTTCATTCTTTTCTTCATGTGCTGTTCCCTCTGCCTGAATGTTCTCCCAGAAACTATTCACATGGTTCATGCCTCTGCTTCATTTGGGTCCTTGCTCAAATGTTAACTTTTTGTTTGTTTGTTTTGGTGATGATATACACAGCAAAACAGACATCAATTCAACAATTTCTACATGTGCAATTCAGTGACGATGATTACATTCTTCAAGTTCTGCCACCTTTCTCAGTATCCTTTTCCAAATTGTTTCACCGTCATTATCACAAACTCACTGTTTCTCATCTAACCTTTTGAGTTGCTGTTCTCAATTTGATCTCATATAGATAATACTTTAAAAGAACACAATGTTCAAGGCATACAGTTTTTTTCTAATTAAGCTAAGATGTTGTTTGGTTTTAAAGATAATTTCAGGGGATAGTTTCACTTTAAGATTTAAAGATTTCCTTAGGGCAATAGTTTTGGGGGATGTCATCCAGCCTCAATGGCTCCAGTAAGTGGATTCCATGAGAATTTGGAGTTTTGTTCCAATTTTTTCCCCTTTTGATCAGGATTCTTCTATCTAATCTTTGATCAAATGCAAATGTTACTTCATTAAAGAAGCCATCATGATCACCTATGCAACAGAACAGTAACCTTTCCACATCACTCTCTATCCCTTTATCTTACTTAACATTTCTTCATAGAACTCCATTATCTAATATTACTCCATATATTTAGTTGTTAATAACTATGCCCCCCATCAGAATACAAGTTGCATGATTGCAGAGACTGAGTCTATTTGCTCACTCCCTAGAACAATATGTGGCACAGATAGGTTCTTCATAAATGTTTACTGGAAGAATGAACAAATGATTCTCACCCCTAAGAGACATACTCCCTCCTTCCTTTGAACCTCCTATTGCCCCTTGTTTATACCTCTCTGGAAACATAGTTTTAACTTTACAGGGACTGGCTCCCCACAGAGCCTAACACAGTGCCTGGCACATAGTAGATGCTCAGGAAATGCCTATGAAGTTAAACAGAAGCAACTGAATAATCTATTACAGAAGTCTATTATAGCCTTGAGATGATTCTTGAATTTCATGTATCTGGGTTCTACGCTGAGCAAAGTGATTTTGTTATCAGTAATTCTGATTATTGGTTGGTGAACAGTGTACTTTTCACATCATAATTGGCAAACTGGGAGCTGGGATAGGCTCACTCAAATCCATCAGGTTGCTGACTTCTTGTTCTACCCTCTTGAGCAAGGTCAGGGTGGATCAGTGGAAGTTACATTATAGCTGATGGAGCAACCTGCACTGGGTGGGGCCCTCAAAGAAGCTGCTTGTGCTTGCAGGTCTCTGGGGATATCCCTTCCATGGGGTCCTGACCCCATAACATGTTATATAATGTTACATGATGTTGTTTATTGTATAATTGTAATATAATGAATTTCCTCCTCAAGGAAGCAAGTTGTACAAAGGCCTTTGAACCCTTCCAAAGATATTGGAATTCCTTCCTTATATGATCTTAATAGTCATGTGATTGTGCCTAGTGGGGTTTGGCAGTAACCCTTCAAGGTTAACCCATCAAGGAGTGAGCCACACTGGATCCAAGGTTCATGGATGTTAAAACCACAGAGAAATCCCACCTTTGGCAGAAGGCTGTAGGCATGGTAATTGATAGGGAATAAGCAAAGATGTGACTTTGAAGATTACCTGATGCAAGCCATAATATTTTCAATCAACTTATATGCATGTGAGAGCTGGACAATGAATAAGGAAAGCCAAAGAAGAATTGATGGATTTGAATTGTGGTGTCAGGAAAGAATATTGAAAATACAATGGACTGCCAAAAGAATGAACAAATCTGTCTTGGAAGAAATACAACTGGAATGCCCCTTAGAAGCAAGAAAGGTCAGACTTTGTCTTATGTACTTTGGTCATGTTGTCAGAAGGGACATGTCCCTGGAGAAGGATATCATGCTTGGTAAATCAGAGGGTTAATACAAAAGGGGAAGCCCTCAATGAGATGGATTGACACAGTGGCATCAACAATGGGCTCACGCATAGCAACGGTTGTGAGGATGGGGCAGGACTGGGCAGTGTTTCATTCTGTTGTACATAGGATTGCTATAAGTTGCAACTGACTCAATGACACCTAACAACAAAAATAAACATTACAGTAAAACCATCCCATCAGTCACTGTCTTATGGTACCCTGAAATATCCATCTCATTATTGTAACAAAAACAGAACTAGAGTCTAATAGAAGAGAAAACATTCTGAATTTTGGCAGGTCTCAAAACACTGCTTAGTTTTCCCCCTCCTACCTTCATTTATTACTCCACTTGCCACTGATAGCACCCACACCTGTGTCAGAACTGGTAGAGTTACTTGGAAAATATAGTCAGTGGTCAGGGAGCAAACTCACTCAAGCTGTACTCCTTACCCTGCTTTCCATAAGGCCTCTTCCTCTGTCCAGGCCTTCTAAGTCTGTGTTTAATAGATTCTCTATTAGATGTGATTTGACCTGCCCAGTAGGCCCAATAGTGCCTGTATCTACATGGAAGCATCCTAGTATATTACCTACTGCACCTGGCATTTTCCAGCAGGGATCTAGACTCAGTCTTACATGCTCTTTCCTGCAAGAATGTCAACTGAGCCTGATTCACTCCTCTCCTTACTGTTACAGTTTCAGTGGGCCTTGCTTCAACTTTTTTCTTGCTTTGTTCAAAATTAGCAATCTATGGCTTCCTGATTTGGGAATAAATGAACTCAAAAGCTTTCATTGCACAGCACTAGAAACAAGCCTTCAGGGTCTTTCAGGTCCCAAATCTTGAGCATACCTTCATGAAGAATATCCTCCTACAGGTCTTGCCTCGATCGCTCCCAGATGCTTGGAGATTAGCAGCCTCAGAGGCCAGTGCTAGATCAGGAATGCTTCCGGGCCCAACCTCCGAGGTGTCTTCCAGCTGCACAGAGGAGTGGAAAATTCCCTCCTTGCCCCGGCCCAGGGAAATCTCAAACGGATCAGGATATTTCTCATCAGGGCTAGAGCCATCATCACTGGTCTTAGCATTACAGAGGATCAGGGACCTAGAGATGGACCGGAATTTTGCAGATTTCCTGCTTTTTCCAGAACGGCTATGTGGCTCCATCCTCAGAGAGGCAGTAAAGCCTCCCTTCTTCTTTTCTTGATCTCGAGCCCTCAGTTGGCGGGTGGTGGTGGGATTGGGCTTGGCTGCCCCTTCATGTGTCCCTGGAGGAAAAAGGAAGCAAGGAGAAGCAATGTGACTTGCTGCTGACAAGTGGAGTCCAGGAACTGAGCCAGGCGTGTCCAGTGCCTGTGAACAGGACAGATGGTAAGACTGTCCTTTACTGTCCCTGGCCCTTCAGGCTTGCCAGCCCAATGGGTCTCAATTAATCCAAGTGGTTAAACCCCCTCTCCACCCCTAAAGTCATAGAGGCCTAGCCCAAGAGCTGACAGGTATTCAGAGCTTTCGTCCAAACACTCATTCTATGACAGGGAAACTGAGGCTCAGAGAGGGGCGGTGCGAACCCAAGTCCACAAAGAACACTAGCAGACAAGCTAGTGGTCGCAGAATCACAGGAGACAATTTAGAGATTGTAAAGACCAATGACAGAGACAGTGATAGATTGTAGAGACCAGTCATAAATCGTAGAGACCAGTAATAAATCGTAGAGACCAGTGATGGATCACAGAGACCAATGATAGATCATGGAGACCAGTGTTTTTAGATGTGAAAGCTATTCTTCAAACAATAGCTTACAGAGAACTCCAGTGTACAGAGCAGGCCAAAAGGGAGAAAGGAGGGAGGAGGACTGAGCTCCACCTGTGTAGTCCCCTTTTAATACCCTTGGTGACTCCTGTAGCATCCCCAAAGAAACCTCAGAATTTATGGAGCTCTGTCTGAAGGCCACTGGTATCTGGTGTTCGCAATTTACTGATGAAAAAGCCCAAGACCTAGGCTGGTTGGGAGTCCCACTAACACTGACCTGCTAGGGTTGATCTGAGTGTGAAAGAAGGAGAAACATGTGGCATGTCTGCCAAAACGCTTAACACGTAACAGGCACATGGCACATATGTGTCCCTTTCTCTGGGCCTAAAGCCATATATTGGCCAGTGCCATAGGCAGGCCTAGGGTCTCCTGCTCCTTTACTTATTTCCATTGGATCAAACTTTTATAGCCTGGACAAAAGTGGACAAAGATTAGCTTTCCACACCAGGTCACCAGCATCACTCTCAGCCTTGCCCTGCCTCGTCCAGCTCAACTTCGCCAAGAGTCACCTCCCGTGGATTCAGTTTCCGTGAGGCAGGTGGCAAAAGGGGCCCTGGTGCTACATCCAGAGAAGTTCTGACTGCAGCCCAAGCCACAGAACAAAGCTCATTGCCAGGACAACAAATTGTGGGAAGCTCTTGGCCCATTGCTACTGCTGTTTGTGCACATCCCATATTGAATTAGGAAAGGCAGAATTTCCAACATTTCATTAAATAGAAAGCTTTTCACAAATTCCCCAGAAGATAATTTCTTCTTAAAGAAGACTGTGCTTTCCAACACCCAAGTTTCTGTATCAGCTCTTTCATTTTGTCAGTTTATTTACCAACCATCTACAGCAACAAATAAAAATGAATAAATTAATTAAAGATGAATGAATGAATAAATAAATATATGAGATGTGTGATATTTGAGATGGATGTATGCCTGTGTAACTGTTCCCGAATTAACTCAATTTTGGCCCATTTCACTAAGCACCCTTTTGCCAATATTCCAAACTCTTATACTGTATATCCTTCCATCTCAAATAATAGTAAAACCTCATTCATAAATGAATCCAACTGTCTACTACATTCTACGTCTGGTTGCAGGTGAGCAAGCCCTGAGGGAGACATCTCCACTGCTGAGCATGTTGTTGGTACCATGAAAGAGTCATAGCTACCAATTGAGCCTTCATATTGACCAATGCACATACTGTGGTTCCATAATTAGTTAGATCACACATTCTCAATAAAGACTGTTTCAAAACTTCACTCTCTTAAAAATCTAGATTACATTTCCCTTCACCAGAAATAGATAACATCACCTTCTACTTCATCAAAGCATAAAACCATCACATAGCAATTCCCCTAACTTTCCACCATCAAATATACAAACCCACTTGCCATCTTTACACATCTGTATACACACTTTGTAATGAAATATGCACTCACCTTCCTATTGAAGACAATCCTCTCATCTGTTCTCTAGATCCTACCCTTCAGTCTTTTCAGGCATAACAGCTATAAAATATAATGATATCTAACTTCTTTTAGTACTTGCAATGTACCAAGCACTGTTCTAAGTGCTTTAACATTTAGTTCTCACAAAGTCTATTGTTTCATAAGTACCCTCAATTTACAGAAGAGTTAACTAAAGCCCAGAGAAGTTAAGTAGCTTTCTCAAGATCACACAGCTAAGATTCAGTGAGGACAGGAATTAAACCAGGCAGACTCACTGAATGCTTTACCCTGGAGCCACCCTGCCACTGATATTATTTCCTCTCTCACCTTTATCCTCAATCTCTCCCTCTGAGCTGGATCTTTGTCATCAGCATATAAACATGCTCAACGTTTGTGTCTTAAAAAAAAAAAAGATGACCAAACTATGGTACATACACACAATAAAATTCTATGCAACACGAAAGAATAATGTAGAGTCTGCAAAACACCGCATAATATGAATGAACTTGGAGGACATTATGCTGAGTGAAATAAGTCAATCATAGAAGGACAATTATTGTATTAGTTCGTTGTTGTGGAGGGTCAAGAAAAGGTTTAAATATGGAGGGAAACTTTCTTTCTTGATTGCCAGGGGTGTGGGGGGGGGGACACTGCCCCCCAAAAAAAATGCATTGACCCATGTCACTTTGTTGTTGTTGTTATGTGCCCTCAAGTCGGACTCCACTCATAGCGACCCCTCCTTGTGTTTCTGAGGCAGTATCACTACGGAAGTAGATTGCCACTTCTTTCTTCCGAGGAGTGGCTGGTGGGTTTGAACCGCCAGCCTTCTGGTTAGCAGTCAAGTGCCTTAGCCACCATACTACTTTAGTTCTGTGTATTTCACTGTGCATAAACTATATTTCAATAAAATGTATTAAGAAAAAAAGTGCTGACTCCATATCCTCTTCTTTTTGTCTACTTCTCTTGGGTCCCTTTCATATCTTGAACAAATGTACTACATTCTACACTTTTTTGCCTTTTATTTGCCTCTTCTTTGAGCCTTAGCCCTCAGAGTCTGCTTTTATTCTGCATTATTCTTTGCACAAAAGTCACAACACTCAAGTCCAGAGCACATGATCTCTTCATTAAAACCTGCTTCCTTTCAGAACGATTTGCTGAGCAGAATATCTATGCTCAGATCTATTGGCTAAGGGACACATAAGAGTCAAGTTTGCAGAGTAGTTTTTTGTTTTCCTCATTACTCACCTTTACTTCCACATGTCACCTTCCAAATCTAAATTGTAACCAGTCTCCTTTTTGCCACCAGCTGCCCAACACAGGAGTTCCCTTACATTCTGCCAATTCAGCTTCCCAGAACAGGTAACTCTCAGCACCTAGGTTACTATAAATATTAGTATATCCAAACCTCTTTCCATTTTAATTATGCTCATTAGGATTCCCCATAGTTTACCTGGGACTCATAGAGAAGGAAGTGGCGGGGGGGAGGAGTATGTGTGTGAGTTATGTGTTTCTGTGTGTGTATGTGTGTATGTGCATATGCATGTCTGTGTGTATATGACTGTGTGTAGTTTCTATGGGTCTGTGCGTGACTGTATGTATGTGCGTATCTGTATGCATGTGTTTGTATACATGTGTGTGTTTGGTCAGCACTAGTCCATCTGTCACTTGAAAAAATAAAGAGATAATCAAAGGTTTTTTTTTTTTGTATTAAAATCACTTTGGACTTTTACTGCTGCTGAATTGGGAAAGCCGTTTAAATATGGAATTGCTGAGGGCCACTGTGTGGAAAGGCTTCACCACATGAAGCCAACATGGAGGATGCAGAATTCCCAGAGGTGGAAAGAGAGAAGAGACAAATGGAGAAGAGGCAGAGAGAAAGAGTGTGCGAGCGACTGAGTCCAGAAGAAATCATATGAGCACCTGGATCCAGCCACACCTAAAGCCCCTTCCATCTATCAAGTTATATAAACCAATCAATTTCTCTTTTTGCTTAAAACCCTCCTGGAATAGTGACTCTTCTCTCAGATGCTGCTGGCACACAGTGTGGAAAACAGTGACATCCAAGAGCCAAGAGGATTTTGAAACTCCCTTTCATTCCACCCGAAGCCTAGGAGAGGAGCCAGTCACCCCGTCAAAGCCCAAACTTCCCAGCTCCCCCTACTAGTAAGGGGCTGTGGTAAAACAACCTCTTGCTTTCTTGCTCCCCCTGAGCACTGCCACAGCCTGGATGGATTCTTGAGATGCAAAACCTGTTTGTTTTCCTCTGCACATCCTCTCCCAACCCATGATAACTGTCACAGCAATGGCAAAGTCACTCAATGGGCATTTTCCAGAGACAAACTTTTGAGGTCCTCCTGGCCAAGACAAGGTTGTATCCTTCACTCAGTGGTGGAAAAGTTGAACATGTATAGGATTGAGGAGCACAGAGGGATCAAATTCTTCAGTGGAAACTATACTAATCCCAGTGGACCATTTGCAAGAGTGTCTGATGAGGACTGTCTTTTTTTTAATAAGCTTTTCCAGAGGAACCAGTCACTTTTGTGGACTTGGCTCTCACATGGGGATGGTGGGAGCTGTGGATGGGAGGTTGGTGGTGCTTGGGGGAGGGGAAGGGGAGAGACAAGGCATTAACCCTTTAGGTCAAGAGCAAAGACAGTTTTTGTGATTATGAAAAATACAAAAAAGAAAGAGAACAATGACTAAAAGGCTGTAGTGGAGAAGACAGAACTGGACTTCTGTGGAAGCCTGCTTTTCCTCTAGGCCTGGCATAGAGAGAGAGAAAAAAAGAAAGAAGAAAGAATAATTGGAAACACAGCACTGCGGTCACATGGATCAGCTTAGCTTCATTAACTGTGCTTAGGACACTGGAACCAGCTCTTGCTCCCTAATGGAACCAAATGTCAGCCGAACTCATAGGCA